AACGCTTGGAAGCACTTGTACTCACTGGAGCGCAGGCAAAAGAGAGATCATAATCTACACCTGGAAAATCCTAGCGGGATTGGTCCCTAATCTGCACACAGAAATCACTCCCTACGAAAGCAAAAGACTTGGCAGGCGATGCAACATATGCCCATTGAACAGTAGTGGCGCCATTAATACACTAAGAGAAAATACCATAAGTGTCCGGGGCCCGAGACTGTTCAACAGCCTCCCACCACCTATAAGGGGAATTACCACTAGACCCCTGGCTGTCTTCAAGAGGGAGCAGGACAGATACCTAAAGTCAGTGCCGGATCAGCCGGGCTGTGGTTCTTACGTTGGACTACGTGCGGCCAGTAGTAACAGCCTCGTTGATCAGGCCCTGATTCACCGGGCCGCCTGGTCGTGGACAGGGCCGCGGGGGCGTTGATCCGCGGAATATCCTCCAGGTAGATATGTCTAGGTATCTTATTAACAAGATACTAGACATTTTGACCACTTATCCTAAATTTTCTCGTAACAGATTAAATACAAATTGTAAATATATACCCAGAGATATTAAACATGTAGAGAGGATGGAAAGAAACAGAATGACTTCGAGAGTGTATAAATCTGCAGTAGAGGGAAGGCGGGGTAGGGGTCGGCCTAGGAAAGGTTGGAGGGAGGGGGTAAAGAAAGTTTTGTGTGCGAGGGGCTTGGACTTCCAGTAGGCATGCGTGAGCGTGTTTGATAGGAGTGAATGGAGACAAATGGTTTTCAGGACTTGACGTGCTGTTGGAGTGTGAGCAAGGTAACATTTATGAAGGGATTCAGGTAGACCGGTAGCTCGGACTTGAGTCCTGGAGATGGGAAGTACAGTGTCTACACCCTGAAGGAGGGGTGTTAATATTGCAGTTGTGTAACTGTAGTGTAAGCACCCCTCTGGCAAGACAGTGATGGAGTGAATGATGAAAGTTTTTCTTTTTCGGGCCACCCTGCCTTGGTGGGAGACGGCCGATGTGTTAATAAAAATTAAAATATATTAAACCACGGTACGGGAGGGGATTGAACCCGCGGTGAGGGAATCTTAAAACTCCAGATCGACGCGTTAGCCACTGGGCTAGCTGGCTGCAATCGTGTTATTACGATTTCTTGAATCCAGATATATTCTTATTAAAACTTTTGAGTTTTAGGCTCCTAGTTTTATATTCTGTTGTGCTACGGCCTTTAGGGTAGCTGTGGGATCCACTATTAATAAACTGGCAGCTTCGGTGGCAAAATCTAATGATTGGATACTTTTTTCTCTGTTATCTACAAAATTAACCACTGTTGTGTACGAATGGTATATAATACCGACAAGATGAGAGTAAGACACATGTGCAACATCTGGGTATCTTTATTGTAGACGTTTCGCCATCCAGTGGCTTTATCAATACAAATTCCAGGACATAACTTGAAGACAGTAGAACTATGTACAGAAGATGAGGTAATCAGTCCCTCAACCTAGGAGTAGGTGCGAACAGCACCATAGTCGTGGTTATGTCCTGGAATTTGTATTAATAAAGCCACTGGATGGCGAAACGTCTACAATAAAGATACCCAGATGTTGCACATGTGTCTTACTCTCATCTCAAAATTAACCACCCCAGTTTGTCCTTATATTGTCATTATTTACAAGAGTGGTGTGTTGCTCACTGTTAAACTGCTGTGGCAGGAAGTCCTCGCTACCCGTCTGGAAAATTGATAAATAAGACACTTCTCTTATCTAATATTTTGTTGGTTTTCTAAGGCATTTATTTAGCCTTGAAAGTCTGAATGTGGTGTTAAGTAATACGTGACAGTCTCCTTCTCTGCCCCCTTCCTGTATCAGGGCTCAGGAAACTTATATTACAGTAGAGACAGAAGTTTAAGAGAAAGTCTTTTGTGTACTGTGTTGAAAGCGTCAAACTTTGCAGTTCATCGAGTGAAATTGAGGGTCCAGACTTTCCTATGTCTAGTGTTACATAGATGTCGGGACACCACATGAAGATCCTGGCCAGGACCCGTCCTGGTGAGCTTTTCTCTACCTGTAGTCTTTCTTTTCCCCTAAATGTATCTTATTTCTTTGTGTAGTATACAAAACGTAATTTGCATGATGGGCCTTATATATGCTACCCTTGATGAGTTCCGAGAGATTTTCTACTCCCGAGGCTGGCCTTGGACCAGGCTCGACAACCATGCTGTTGGCGGCCCGCTGTCCCCCGCATCCATCACATCCTTGTTAATCTGGCACCTGGTGAAGATATTTGTCCAGTTTTCTCTTGAAGACTTCTACACTTGTCTCAGCAGTGTTTCTGATATGGTAAGATGTTGAATAATCTGGAGCCACGGGCATTGATAGTGTTCCCTTATTGTGCCCACGGTGCCCCTGCTTTTCACTAGGTTTATTTCGCACTTCCTTCCATATCTCTCACTCCAGTATATTATGGCAGTGTGCAGATTTGGGACAGAGCCCTCGAGTGCTTTTCAGGTATATATCATCATATATCTTCCGCTCCACTGAGTACATATTTAGGGCTTTAAAGCGTTCCCAGTAATTTAAATATTTTATTGGCTGTATGCGGGCCGTCAATCTGCTCCAGCTCTAATATTTCTCCTGCCCTGAACGGGGCTTTTTATAAAATCTTGAGGTATTCTTTAAGTTCCCGAATGCAGTTTTGAGATTTGTCCGATGAAATTGTATGGTTGATGTAATTGTGATGTTACATGTGATGCCTTAGACCTTTATTTTGACTTAATATTGGCAGTTACTGTCACAGGGTCTTGGTGCTTGAGCGTCCATGTGCTCGTTTGGTGCTCAGTTGTTACTTGTAATTATACGCTCATCATTGTTCAAATTCAAATTCAAAGTTTATTCTCTATAAAGATTAGAATGTTGAATTTACAGAATTTGGTTGTTGTGTGGTTTACATGTAGTTAAATAATGATTACAGAGTGTACCACTAGAACGCCTAGCATGGCTAGGCATTTCGGGCAGACTTAGTTTAATTCTTTATTTTAAAATATTACAAATTATGAGGTAAGTTGGTATTATGGCTAAGTGACTAAATACTAGTTTGTGAGTTTAGCAATGTGAATGCTTTTGTTTTGGCACAGTACATAGTTTCAGTATTGGAGTATCATAGGATTCATTATTTTAAGATTGAGATTAATATTTCTGTTTATGGTCAAATGAGTGAGTGAGTGTAAGTGTGAACCAGCAGGTGGTATTCGTGTAGTTAGTTGATGGGGTGTATCAGGGAGATAAGATGTTTTCTAATGGTAGTTTTGAAGGTGATGAATGTGTCTGCAGTTCTAGAGTTCTCAGGTAGGGTGTTCCAGATTGTAGGGCCTTTGACATACATTGAATTTTTGTAAAGGTTTAGTCGGACACGGGGAATGTCGTAGAGATGTTTGTGTCTGGTGTTATGTTGGAAGTAATTGAATGAACAAATAATATTCCGTTAAACATTTAATGTAAAAGAATATTACTTGAGAGTGACTAGTAAAACTATACTCTCTCACACCTCCCTCTCTCCCCGGAAATAGCTACTGCAGTCGTGTGCACAAATTTTCAACTCAAACCTAAAAATAAGGCAAATCTGCTTGACAGCAAACTAGTGTTCACCGTTCAGTGTTTTATTTCCATTTTTTTCGTTAAATTTTTAAGTTAGCTTCGTCTGCAACTTCGAAGAGAAAGTGAACTTGCCATCAGCAAGGCTGTGGTCACTGATACTGCCATTGTCAAGGTGACAGTTTGTTGCAGGGGGCGATGCGTCACTCAGCGTGCAGAGAATGTGGCCTTCAAACTGCGTTCATATGAGAAACTTTTTTTCGTGTGTGTGTGTGTGTGTGTGTGTGTGTGTGTGTGTGTGTGTGTGTGTGTGTGTGTGTGTGTGTGTGTGTGTGTGTGTGCTTTCACTCGTCTTTATTATGATGTAATAAATAGGAAGACAAATTTGTAAAAAGATGAGGATGTAAACGAGAATCCGGATGTTTCCGATAGCTGTGTTATACGAGGTGCCGGGTGGGAGGTTGGGCTGAGGTGGATTGGGGTGGGGTGGGATGGTGTATCGGACAGGGATTGGGTAAGCGAAGAGAGGTTGGTGTGGGGTGGCGGACAGGGGTTGTGGTCTTGAGGCGGTGGTAGATGGGCTGGGTCTGCCAGATCAACCAGGCTGTGATGGATATATGGGGCAGCGGGCCTCCAGCAGCAACAGCCTGGTCGATTTGGCTAGCGCCAGACGAGCCTGTCTCATGGTCGGGCTCCGGGAATAGAAAAACTCTCGAAACTCATCAAAGGTATATATCAAAGGCCTGGAATGTGGTAAAGAATGGGTTTAGGTTGAAAAGTCCCAGCTGGATTCTTCAGTTGAATGTAGGTGATTTTAAGATAGAAGTTGAGAGGTAGTTTTGAGATGGTAAGTCTCTTAGCCTTAATAAAACATAGCTTGTAAATGGTCCAAGACGGACTGAAACGTCGTCGTAAGCTTCTCTCTCCTATGTGCGGGTTACCTGGATTACCTGGAGTTATTTATGTATTTTTCCAGTCATTGTATGGTGCCATTTTGTTCTTTAATAAGACGTGCTCAGTCCCTATCAAGGCCGAGGGATTGATCACTGATCTTCTACTAATTTCTCCGATGTTATACTCGCCTATATTCGATTAACGAAGCCTGTTGCGCAGACGAAACGTTTCATCAATAAACATACTCAAGAGTTAGACATGTCTTATTCATCAATTTGTCGGTATTGTATTTCATTTAAACTATAACAGTGGTTTTAGGGTTGCTAGACAGGAGTTGAAGATTGTCATGGGCTGTTTTCCCCACCAACCGAATTTAATAAATATTTGTTACCCCTTCCTCACCCTTTTTACTCTCCCTTCTTTCACCTCCCTCCCATCTGCCGTCTCCATGCCCCTCCCACCCTCCATGTGTGGGCAGGATGGTCCTGCTGGGGTGGCCAGAGTGGCGGGCCAAGTCTGCTGGCCCTCACACTGACGTGTTGGTACACTGGCTGTCGGACGAGCCTACCTGCTACACGTCTCCTGTACTCTTGTAATGAAGTGACTCTTCCGCCCACACAACCACCCGCACGCTACTGGCTTCCACAGTTAATACAGTACACAGTTACTTCTCAGTGTGTAACAAAAATTTGGGTTTCAAAGGAGTAATATGGAGAAACAAAATGAGTCACAATGCAACGGCTAGAATAATTAACTTCCAATACAAAATTCAGAAAGAAAACTTAAGGGAACTTTTCACTTCGTCCTGAAGTGTGTACTGATTGTGTGTTGCGAGTGTTACATTAGGTAGTAGGCGTGGGGATTATCGCTTTCGCGGCGGAAATAGTAAGAATACGCGTGCTAAGCAGGAAAGGAAGTCGTAGAGGAAGAATTATTGAGAAGCTCGGGGAAATGAAGTGTAAACTGAATATAAGTAGAAGTTTGAGATGGACCTGTCATCTTTGGAGTTCACGAGACGAAAGACCACGGGTCGTGCAAGAATGCAAAGCGTTTTAACAAGTGTCCTGGATAGTACGTTACTGAACTTTTCCAACTAGACAAAGCAGGAACATGACTGACGTAAGTGCTTATTACCCGTACTGATGGTAGCTGTTGAACATAGCAAGATAGCGGGTAAACCTGTTTGTAACTGCATAACACTATGAACATGAACTAGTGTGTTTGAACAAGGGAAAAGAGGCCGCTAGTAATAAGTGATTCTGGTTATGGTGAGGGCAAATGACCACACACAACAGCAGCCAATTACATGAAACCTTATACCAGCAAGTGACCCTGAATCAGAAGTGCCAAGAATATGTGAGCGTAACCACACGTTTTCATAAAGGTTGTGACAAACGACAGATTGTTTGCTATAAAAAAAATTCGGGTGTTAATGTTTGGTTAAGAAATAAATATTTTGTGTAGAAAATATTCTTCCTTACATGAACAAGTCTATGATATTACTGATTACGAAAGGTTTAATTACGAAAATTATTCATATTGTACTGGTAATTATATTATGCTACTAATTACTGTGGTACTAATTACTGTGTTAATTACTCCTTCACACCCTAGCCACTTCAACGAGGGTGGATCATTGTTTGCTTAATTACTTATTTGCAGTTATCTGCAGTCACATTAATATGGTTTTAATTCTCAGTTGGTTCATATTTTATTTCTTTGATTTCACTTCAGCCATCAGCCACAAGTAGGGGAGGTAGTGGCGATGGGTAACCCTTGAGGCAGCGAGGTAAGGGAAGGGGAGTGTAGTGCTTGAGGGTAGTATGACAAGATTTTTTTTTTTTTTAGTTTTAGGAAAATTCGGTACACCAAAAATGTGTTGTCTTCCTATTGTTTATCATGGTTATTGAAATCTGTCAGTATGAGCTGGGAGATTTTACTGGAGCAATGAGGATATCGTCAAGTATTCCGTTAAAGCTTCATGAGTTATGGCAGCTTTGAAGGTTTCGTTCCAGTAGAGCTGGAGTTGCTACACATACCTGGCAATTATTCTCAGGATGATCTATCTCATAAACAGGAAAAATGGAATTTTTGTTAAGATACGTAAATCAGCAGAGTGCAGAACAATGTAAATTATATATGGGAGTTAAAAAAAGAGAAGGGAGGAGAAAAATTTGGATTGTATAATATATCAAACCATGTACATATATTAATACATGACAACGCAGTCATTATATATCTAAACGAGAGGATCTTACGACGACGTTTCAGTCCAAGTCGGACCGAAACGTCGTCGTAAGCTACTCTCTTCTATGTGCGGGTTATTTGTGTATTGTTCCAGTCACGGTATTGTGCCTTTTTTTGTTATTCATTATATACCTAAAATATATACCTATGGCGCTATGCTGGCGACAACCAGCCTGATGGCAACTAGCCTGAAGACAACCAGCCTGATGGCAACCAGCCTGATGGCAACATCATAAAATAAACTCAGCCTGTACTAAGGAACACCTACTAAATATAGGCTGACTCAAGATCAGTTGATAGAGATCACTGAACACTTGTTATCTTTGTGTATTTTGCACACTGCTACAGTGCGCCTGTAGTGATCCGTCAGTGATGTTCATTGAGCAGCAAGGTATTTACATGACAATAGGGAAAAGAATACGAGTTAAGGGGGATGAGGTTGTATGGGTGTGGTTGGAGTGTGTGAAATTGAGAGAGGATTGTGATGGATATGTATATTTTTTAGGTAGAGCGAGTAAATATGTGTGTGTGTACGTGACGTGTACGTGTGTATGAACGTGCGCGTTAGGGGAGGGGTAGGCAACCTCTCTGCTGCCCTCCCCAATAATAAACGGTGGTCGTCATCCTCTGCTCTTCCTGTATTTATTATTCATAGTGGCCGAGGCTGGCTAATGCTATGTGTGTGATCTTTGTTGAAGCTGCTGTTGCTGCTGTGGTCTCCGCTCTTTATCACCACCCGCATTCTCCCTCTCCCTCAGTCATGACGCGCGCTCCGGCAACAACATGGATGATTAGGAACTTCTTGAAATAGTTTGTCAAGTTCCCTCGTGAAAATAGTGGTATGTTCATAATTCCCTTCCTGTCGAAAGGAGAGCATTGAAAAGTCATAGACTCTTTGTTTATCAAGCTATATCTTGATGCACTTATTGCATCCCTTTTTTTTGGGGGGGGGGGGGCTTGTTTTGCAATGTTTATAGTGCCTTGTTAATTACTCCTAAGTGTGTAGGTTTGACAATCCATTACTTGAACCCACTTTAACCTTGGTCGGCTTAGCACGGCTATTAGTTACTCTTGTAAATTCTGCTGTTGACTTACGAAGCGTTTCTCGGACTCTTCTGAAAACACTTTGAGCTAGACTGGTACGAGTGGCTATGAAATCATCAGGGTTGTAATTGTTTCGGTGCGGAATATAACAACTCATAAGGCAAATGCTTGTCTACACCATACAATGCATAATGTGGAGTGTCACCTATTGAAGCATTGTAAGCAGAATTTATAGCACACTGATCATCAGGTATGACTTCATCCCAAGTTTCACTATTTGGGTTGATAGTGGCTCTCAAGACATCAAGAGCTTTCTTATTGGTTCGTTCCACCAAACCATTACTCGCAGGATGATGGGGAACAATGGCTGACTTATAGATCTTGTACAAGGTACACAAATTTTCAAGAATCTCGTTACAGAATTCACCTCCGTTATCGATTACTAGGGACTTAGGAGTGGTATATCTACAGATTATATGCTCTTTGAAAGCTTTAGCTACAGTCTTATCTGCAATAGGAACTAACTCACAATATCTGGTGAAATGATATACCATAACACACAGATGTTTGTTGATTTGGAGGGAACATTGGAAATTGGTTAACAGATCTACAGCAACTCTTTCCCATGGTTCACTCGTGGTGGGATACACCTGGATAGGATTTGGACCGTTGACATTTCCTTTGTTACATACAGACACTACATTTCTTAACATACTCGGAAATATCAGTTGCCATACGTGGCCAAAAGTATTTCATTCTGGCTTGTTTCACAGAACGATCCATACCAGGGTGTGCAACATCTGGTGCATTGTGAACTAGCTGTAGAGCTACATTCGCTAGTGAATGGAATTACTATTTGGTATACTCTTCTGCTTGGAGTACCCAACTCGACTCTTCCATACAGTAATTCTTGACTCATTACAAAGTCACTAATGGGTGCTGGTGGCTTCACAGTCAGAATAAGATCTTCCTGGAGAAGGAATCGGATCACACCAGACCATAAGGGATCTTTTCTTTGCGCATTCTTTACCTCTTCGGCACTAAATGGAGGATCTACAGTTACTACACTAACATGTCGCGATAGAGCATCAGCGACTACATTTGATCTGCCAGGCAAGTGTTCAGATATACGTTATTAAGACTAGGTTATTTTGGGTACTTGAAGGATACCCGAAGGATGGTTTAAGGAGTTAGCGCTCCCGCTTTCCCTTCCAAGACCAGTTCTGGTTAATCAAAGTCTGATCAACCAGGTTATTACTGGTAGTCGCATGCAGCCCAACGTACGAACCGCTGCTCGGTTGATCGAGAACTGATTCAACGAACTTGTCAAGTTCCCTCTTGAAGATAACCAAGCTTATTGGTGATTTCCCCAATGTACGAAGGGATGACATTGAAAAGTCTAGGACCTCTGACACTCAAGTTCTCAGTGCACTCGTTGCGCCGCTGCTTTTCTAAGGTTTGGTCAAGTTAGACTGTCATCTATAACATATATATATATATATATATATATATATATATATATATAATATATATATATATATATATATATAATTTCAGTAAATGCAGTAAACAAAATAGAAAATTGGGACCCATTGAGTGCACATGAAAAGTCACTTAATTACTGTTTAATTCCACTGTCAGTCACACGCCCGACTGTGTAAGCCACAACTAAATACTGACTTTGATTAGGAGGATGGATTGAGATTTGGAAGCAGTCTCTACAGTATTTTCCAGGTTTACATTATGGTGACTGTGTACTACACAGTCAGGGACAAAAAGCATTCCCAGTATTTTTACGTGTTGGAATTGATACGATCAAGTTAAGTTTTCTGTACGTTATCCAGATCCTCAATTTCTCCTGCCTTGATACAATTAGTGTGCAGCAATATTCCAGTTTAGAGAGAACAGATGGCTAGTTAATGCTCCAAGTCTGACCGAAACGTCGTCACGGGTTTCATTCTGTTATGTGCGGGTTATTCGTATATATTATCATCACTGGCTTGGTATCTCCTGTTTTGAAGGTTCACCTCATCGTTTTTTTTTTCTTACAGTTGTATGAACACTGATCTTTGAGGTTACGATCTTCAGACGTTACTTCCCTGGTCCCATATGTAACTTTTCAGTCTCCCAGGTCAGGCCGACAGATTTCAACACTGTGAACCATCCTTCGGGATAGATTATGACAAAAAAAATGTTTCTCACTATATAACCATCATATAGAATAGTATATCAACACTGCTGATGTGTCCACTGTTTGCTAACTAAAAAAAAGTGGTATGATTATTTTTTAATGTTTCGGGTTTTTCTTAACTTTTGCAAAGTGGAGAATCTGCAGTGAGTTGTAGTTGAGCGTCATACAGCAACCAACTTCCATCTACAACGACACACACTCGTCTTAAACTGCAAATTTTCGTTTGCTGTTACATGTCATGTACTGTTGAAACAATTTATACACAACTACAACCATTGAGCTACAAGTACAAGCACTGAGCTACAAGTACAAGCACTGAGCTACAAGTACAAGCACTGAGCTACCAGTACAAGCACTGAGCTACCAGTACAAGCACTGAGCTACAAGTACAACCATTGAGCTACAAGTACAACCACTGAACTACAAGTACAACCACTGAACTACAAGTACAACCACTGAGCTACAAGTACAACCACTGAGCTACAAGTACAACCACTGAGCTACAAGTACAACAATCACGCTACAACAACTCCAGCTTAACAAACACACCCCAGACAGGAGCTTCCAGGTCTACAATCCCAGACACACTTAAAACTTACCTCCTGTCGCAGTACTTTGCTAGTGAGCAGTGACCACCCCACTACTTCCACTCTCTAGTCTCTCTCTTCCTCTCTCTTTTGTTGTGTTCTTCCATGTCTTTCTTTGTCAGTCTCTATCTTCTTTTCTGTCAGACTTGTGTGTGTGTGTGTTTGTATTCGTCTGCCATAGTCTGTCTCTCTGTCTGTCTCTCTCTCGCTAGGTATTTCATCTCTTTCATTTTCTTTGTTTTACTTTGTGTGTGTTTCTCTCTTACTCTATTATTTTTTTTATTTCCTGTTTTTTTGAATGATTGTCTTGCTGTCTGTATATTTGTCTTGCTCTTTGTATATTTATCATACTCTCTTGCTTGTTCTTTATATGTTTGTCTTGTTCTTTACACTTTTATTACTCATTTTTGTCCTGTGTCGCATTTTGATAGTATACTCACTTATTTGTGGTTGCAGGGGTCATTTCATAGCTCCTGACCCTGTGTGTGTGTGTGTGTGTGTGTGTGTGTGTGTGTGTGTGTGTGTGTGTGTGTGTGTGTGTGTGTTTACCTGGAGTTTACCTGGAGAGGGTTTCGGGGGTCAGCGCCCCCGTGTGTGTGTGTGTGTGTGTGTGTTTGTGACTTCGCTGATAGTTTGTTTACCCGTTGTCATTGTGTGTGTTTGTTTGTGGGCTTGATGTATGTACGTCTCTGTGTCACTGTCTCCCCGTACGTTGTGCTTCTATTTCCGTTTTTTACTTGCCTTTGTAAGTTGTCTTTGATAAATATATATGTGTATTCGCCTGTGTGTGTGTGTGTGTGTGTGTGTGTGTGTGTGTGTGTGTGTGTGTGTTCGCTCTTTCCTTGTATCTATCAGTGTCTATACCTTTTATTTGAAAAGAGCGGGGGAGTTGTTTTCGCCGCTGCGTACAGTGAGTGGAGGTGTTGGTGTTGTCATGATCTCTCACGTTTGTGTCATATACTTGTAAACGTGTGTGTGTGTGTTTCATACTCTCATACCTGTACTGAATATAAGTTATACACTCGTACCGGTTCTGAGTGCGTTATCAGTCACGTGGGATGGGGGCGGGTGGTGGGATTTACCGTCCATTTGCAAGGAGGAGTGTGGGAAAGATAGCAGAAGTGTTCTACCTTGCCTGGGGAAGATGGCTGTGTTGAAAACATCTGCGAGGAAGGTAGATAGCAGCTCTCCAACTCTGATAGTCTGGTGTTATAAGTTTCGTATCTACTGAGAGTAGAGGATTTGAAGAGGAAATTAGATAAGTGCCTGCTGTAAGTGCCTGATCATCTACATTGTGGGAGGTACGTAAGCCTGCGGGTCACTAATAGCAACAGTCGGGCAGAGCAGTCAAAACAGTCTGGTCTCAGGCTATTAATGTAAAACGAAACTTGAAATAAGGTATAGGTGTGTTAGGGGTAAGAAAATAGGTAAGCCTTGAGGTCTCTTCTAGAGAAAGCTCCAGCTGCGGGTTATCATATGACTAAGTCCCGCGTCAGAAAACACTTGTCTTCTTTCCTGACAGATCGTACCCAACCTAACCTGTCCTAGAGGTTAGTGGGGTGAATTACGAACCATGTTGGAGAGCTGGACAGCAACGACCTATTAAACCAGGTGAAACACAGCCAGGTACAACAGTATTCCACTCGTTTGCTAGGTAGGCAGAATTAGCTTCACATCATTTGTTAAGGAGTTTCTGGCAACTTCTAAACTCACGTTAAGAAAAATGGGTTGAAAACATCATTAAGATAGAGACATTTATACCTGTGATGTATTTCAAGTGTCCTCTCACAACCCAGCAAAATTTAGGCCACGTTTCCTGGTTGCATAAACAACCAGACTGTTGCTGCCCTCGGAATGCAGGCCTAAGCAACTATTTCGACTTGGCCGATTCTATACATCCTGCAAGAATATGTTCTGGGTCACAGGTGTACGGATAAGATAGACGATAACTGGAAGGAAGAAGAGATACTTGATAATATATACACTGCCATAATTAACGTTAGGAGTGCCACTGTCAACAGTATTACTCGTATAGTATGTAAATACTATATACACAAACTATATGTTGGGCCGAATAGGTAAAACTGGTCAATTAGCAAGAACTCGTTTAAAATTAAGTTCTTTCTAAAGTTTTCTCTTATGTGTTTAAAGATATGTATTTTTTCATTCATGTTAATGTAAAAATTAATGATTTCGTACAAAAAGAACCTTAGAAAATTTACCTAACCTTATTATAACAAGCGCAATTTAATTTAGCCTAATTCATCTAAATATATTTTAGATAAGTTTAGAATAATTTAATAATAAACACAAATGTATTTTTTCATTAGGTTCAGAATGATTTTTGCGAAATTATTGCATACACAAATTTTCGCTTGCCGCCTTCGGCAAGAAGAGCGTAGCTATTTAAGCCAGAATAGCAAGTTTTACCTATTCGGCACGACATGTATATATATATGTGTATATATATATATATATATATATATATATATATATATATATATATATATATATATATATATATATATATACTAGTAATACTTTTGACACCACAAGTGTAATTAGAGAACACAGTATCAGCATCCATGGTCCAAGGCTCATAGTCCTGTTAACGGCAAAAAAAGAAAAAAAAAGATATTGCCGAAACGAAGGTAGATGTTTTTGAGAAACATCTAGACAAATATCTCTTGAAAATTCCTAAATCGGTCAGGTGGTGATGGTTTTTGTGGGTCTGCGAGAGTAAAAGAACAACCCTCGAAACCGGTCAGAAGTAAAGGTGAGGGGAGTATCATCTCTGAGGAATTTGTTGCTAGGCCCACATATCCGTGAAGGAGAATTAATGTGTGTGGCATCATGGCTGGGTACCATTCCATGACCAAGAGAGAGAATCGAGCCTCCATTATTTGTTCTGAATGACCCACACAGGTTTACCACTTCGTGACACAATGCAAATCAACGAGGATGCGAAGAACCCTCAGCCTCAGACCACAGCTATATTGCTGACAGACACAGGTGTGTTACCTCATCTAACGTAGCGGCAAAGAGCAAAAACCTTAAAAGAACTTGTGATAAGGTTACTGACCCTGGAGACAACTCGTGTGAGTGGCCGCCTCAGCACCAGCTGCCTTTGTACCACCTGCCTCTGCGACACCACCCTGGCACTTGGCAACTATGGTGTGTTTACCTAGTTGTGTTTTCAGAGGTCGAGTATTGACTTGTGTGTGTGTGTGTGGTTGTGTTATATTCCTGGTGAAGAGGTCAGACAGCACTGATAAAAGTTAGGAGAAGGAAGGATAGTTCCATTTCCTTGGAGCAAGAACCCTTTACCTTGCAGGAAGTACTCCGAAGTCTGACATCCGGTGAACTGAAGATAGGGAGGGAAGGAGGAAGGGCGGACTGAGACTGATAAACAGATGAGAGAGTAACTAAAGTTACCTTTTAAGCAGTAGAGGATCTCTGTTCATGGCGAATTCTTATCAGATGTGTCACTAATATGTAACGTATATAAGAAGAGACCGTTACTAGACGTGACAACTTGAGTCACACTGCAAGGTCACTGACGCTGAGTTCTGAAGTTGAAAACCCCCCGGTTCGCCGCGAGGCAAACTAGTCAACATGTAGATGCCAAGCTGAGAGGATACGCTGTCAGACGACACGATCTGTCTACCTAATAAACATCGTGCTGAACAGTTGTGTATTTCTCCAGGCACACCCACAACGTTTTTATCCTCAAACCCGCAGCAGAAGTCTATAGAAGCTTATTAACATATTAGCACATTCTTTTAGAGTTAAAATTTATTGTGGTGTCAGTAAGAGACTAGATTTTTCCGCCGAAGTGGCTTGTTTATGCACCCTACATCCATACTATGGACAGTAGCGCAAGAGTTATTATACTGTCATCTCTATATTCTTCAGTAATTGGACGATGAAGGACATAGTATTCAAGAAAGTAACCATAAGACTGACTACATACTTTTAATCATCACTGCATCTCTACCAAAATGTTATAAATATTTGTAACCAAGCCACAGCCTGGTTATTACAAAAGTCTGTCTGCTCACGTTACAATGTTTTCCGTAGACATGCTTTTCTACATTCATATTATCGTAATGAGTGATAGATGTACTCAGGCTTTTAATTGTATTTCTATGACATTCATTTTCATTATTTACTTCTCTTCTAATATTATTTCTAATGCGAGACACGGATATACCAGGGCACTTTGGCTAACTTATTAACTTTATCATGAAGGAGTAATTGAATTTGTGACGGAATCCATAAAAATTGTACATTAATTTCTTGTTCTCTGATTTTGGAATGTCTCCACCAGTGAGCATGTTGTTGTTTATCAATAAAAGAAATGACTGATTTGGATTTGAAAATAGTAATGTCTGAAGATTAATAAAACATAGTTTTTAAAATGCTTCTTATATTAACAGGAAGGAAAATGTGATATTGATAGAATGTAAAACAAACGAATTAGTGATCAGATACATTTACATTGTGTGGATCCCATTGCAATTAGTGAGCAGGTAAACAGACTCCAGAAGGCTTCCTTGACCTAAGTATTTGTGACGGTGATCAGCAGTAATGTTGGATGGACACCTCAGAGTTGGAAAAACCTGCCAGCTGTTGAATCAAGGTCGTGGTGACTAACTTCAGAAGCAAGAAAGGTGTGAAGCCTCAAGATCACTGAATTAACTCTAATATATCATATTTTCTTAATACTTGCTCACACGTTTAACTTTTCCCTCCCAAATCACTGGTCCTCATTTCTTCCCAGGTTCCATTCCTATTATTTCTTTCATTTCTTTTTTAACCCTATTTTAATGCACTTTTGTTAACTGACCTTGTTTTATGTAGTGCTCATGATCTTTGCGCTTCTTGTAAGTTTCTGTAAGTTCCCCTCTCCTACACCTCCCATTTTTTTTTGATCTCCCCTCTGACGTCCTCCTGCCTCTGATCTTCTCTCTAACGTCTTCCTGTCTCTGATCTTTCCTCTGACCTCTCCTTCTTCCGACCTCTCCTCTGTCTAACTTGTCGGTGCTCGTCAGTATCTTACTTGTGGCTCTGATCCACCTGCTGTAATTTAACCTTGTAGTTCCATTAGTACATATTTTACCCTATCGTGGCCTTACCTTACCCCTTGGCATTTTTAAGCTTAGAGATTCGACGTCTGACTCCTTTCTCGTGGATTATCTACAAACGCGACTACATTAGAAAAAAGTACCTTATGTGTCTGGAACGTTCTCACTTTAAATTTCTAGTGGGAAAACTCGTTCACAAACTTCTCTACGCGATGATGAGCCGAAGAAAATTGCTGTAAGCTCGTGCATCGCGCCGACCACTCATTACAGCATAGGTCGCAAAAAGAAGTGTTTCCTCTCAGTCCACAGAGTCCAGCCAGCAGTGAGCAATTGAATGGTTGATTTTACGACAGTTACCCGATTCAGGTGATATCCCTTACGAATATACCAATAACGAGTTGTAAAAAAAAATCAGAAAAGAGGAAAATGCAGTAGGTCTGCTGGCCGATGATAGGCAGATCTTAAGTTTGTGGTAGTGTGCGTGGGAGGCGTGGCCCCTGGTGTGACGATGGCGGCCATGAGCGCAAAAGTACAGAAACAGAAGAAGATTCCTGTTGGCCTGGAACGAGGGTCAGAGCTGGTGTCAATGATACTCACCTACGGCACCATCATCGCCCTCCTGATGGCCGTCTACTTCTTCTACCGAGTTTTCGTGGCTGTCCAGGTAGGTCTCCTTGCACCATAGTTCCTTGTTTTATTTTTCAAAGTGCAGGATGCGCAGATTATTATATATTCATGAGGAGCAAAACTCGTCGGGGCTATATTATAGCATCTGGGAAATGAGAGGTAATCCCGTTTAAAGCAGGGAAAGGGAGGGTAGCTCCAACTTCGTAGATGAAGAGCCCTTCACTAGCATGGGGAAGAATAACTCATCTGATCTGATCTTCAGATTTTCACCACTGGTATGGTTTCCTGAACACAAGGTCTTATTTGATCTGCTTCAAATTTTCAAGGCTTGTGTAATGTATGTTGGGCAAAATTTGGAAGTATTTGCATGCGTGGGTGCAGTATTGCACAACTCTACATAAGTCATACCCAGATGTTTGTGTGACCAGTGTACACAAGCTCCTCTGATTGGCTTCTTAATTTCATCACTGGTGTATCCTACTTAATGGATTGTGTTAATGCTATTTTGCCACTTTTAATCTCGTAATGGTAGTGTTATTTTACCTTGTTTCATTATTTTGTTTTGATGCTGGTGAGGGGCTCTTGATCTAAGGAACTGGACTTATCTTTCCCTAGCTTGGATCGAATTTAAATGCCTCACATTCCACAGGTGCTGTATGACCCCCGCGGGTTTAGCGCTTTTCTCTTATTAAAATATAACAATCGGGCCAGAAGGGCATCAGTCTTCAATGGCTGATTCATCCTGTGAAAATAACTAGAAAGTTTTATAGTTTTTAGGCTGTGTAGGCATAAATTTTATTGGATTATGTGTAATAACTGGAAAATGCATCTTTGGTCGGCTTTGAACTTTTAGTTCTAATGTGTTTTACTCAAGGGAAACAATCTAATTTAATTGGTGTTTGTGTATTAGAGAATGTCTTCTGATTAGAAAAGTCAGTGCTTGATTTTATTTGGTTATCCCAAGTTAAATCAACTTTGTTCTTTTTTGTACCTGTAGCATCAATGTGCCCTCGAGAATAATGTTTAAAATTGTTATGTTATGCACACTAGCTTACTTAATACTTAAAACCTGGTCACTCTACTTAGAGAAAAGTTTAGGTTGAATTTCGCTTGCGCAGGTTCCTTTTTTTTTTTTTTTTTGTAGAAACTGGAAAAATTGACATGCTGCTCTTCATGCGATAATTTCTGAGTGTTGCATCTGACTACCATCTACACTTCCTTCCTGTTGTATGATAGCACAACATCTGAGCAGCCTCAAACTTAATGTGCTTGTGTATTTTAGGATATTGGTGTATTTATTCCCATTGAAAGATTTGAATTATATTTGGTCTCTGTTTATGTCCATATTTACCATTTTTTATTGAAAAAATTATATTACTTTCTTATGGTAACTTGTGAATGACTCTTCTCATTCCCTTCAAATCTTCAACCCTAATATTTAACTGCATTATAAACTTCTGCCGCACTTTGCGCTATTCTAATCGCTCGTTGAGGAGGTGCAGTGTACTGGGGTTATGGATTACGGGGATACATTTCTCGGATCGCGCAGCGGTTGATATTCATCTAGTTTGCTCAGAACTCTTAAATAAATATCTTTCAATTTTACTATTTTTGTCTCAGGGGCATAAACATTTCCCCAAGTTGAAAAAAAAAATATTTTCGTCTCTTAGAATTAATTTTCCAAGTAGAAGGGGAAGGGAGGAAATTGAAAAGAATTTTTTTTTTTTCTGACGGCAGAGAGAGTTTTGGGCCAGTTGTCACGTGTGGCGGAGGGAAGTGTTGAATGTCAATGAGAGATGACTCCTGGTCTTGCTTGGTGGGACCCCTCAGGCAGGACCAAGACTGTAGTGGGACCCTCAGGCAGGACCAAGACTGTAGTGGGACCCTCAGGCAGGACCAAGACTGTAGTGGGACCCTCAGGCAGGACCAAGACTGTAGTGGGACCGTCAGACAGGACCAAGACTGTAGTGGGGCCCTCAGACAGGACCAAGACTGTAGTGGGACCGTCAGACAGGACCAAGACTGTAGTGGGGCCCTCGGACAGGACCAAGACTGTAGTGGGACCGTCAGACAGGACCAAGACTGTAGTGGGACCCTCAGACAAAACCAAGACTGTAGTGGGACCCCCAGACAGGACCAAAATTGTAGTGGGACCCCTCAAGCAAACCCAAGACTCTTTGGGTTAATCATGGAGAGGCAGGACTGTACTCCTCAACTTACAATCGGCTGTGTATGCACGGGTCAACTTTAGCTCTGGAACCCACCCATCCTAGCTCTTGGACCAGCGTGACTGATTTCTGGTTTCTAGGGTCTGTTCACACTCATTGAACTGTGTACGGTGTTTGTTTTCACCATATTTCTTCATGTTTGCTCCTCTTACCACCCTAACGCCGAAAATAAATGCATCCTAACGTTGCTATGACTTACCTGCATTTTCATCTGCTGTAATCTCCATTTTTATCAAAAATCATGTTACTGATGTCGAAGTTTTTCAGTGTTGTAATAGAACTGTGAGTTGTTTTTGTAAGCTCTTTAGTTATGTTAGGCAGGTGTTCGTTTGGTTAATCTTAGTATCCCGGAGAGCCATTGTCTTGGTACAAAAACCTTTATTATAGATATTTTGCTCTAGGTAGAGCTTTATCAAGCCATAAAGCTCTACATGGAGCAGTGTCTCCCATCATGCTTGTTCAGTGTTAGTGTTCAACAACAAGTCAAGTTTAAGTTTCTTAACTCAGACGAAAGGGATTTCTCGCCGGTGTCGTAATTTACATATTAATTTAGTGTGTCAGTTCATGTCCCCTTTTGACTCGGTGGTAAGCAGGAGGTGCCACCACTCGCATTAGCAGGAGGTGCCACCACTCACACTAGCAGGAGGTGCCACCATTCACACTAGCAGGAGGTGCCACCATTCACACTAGCAGGAGGTGCCACCACTCACACTAGCAGGAGGTGCCACCACTCACACTAGCAGGAGGTGCCACCACTCACACTAGCAGGAGGTGCCACCACTCACACTAGCAGGAGGTGCCACCACTCACACTAGCAGGAGGTACTACCACTCACACTAGCAGGAGGTGCCACCACTCACATTAGCAGGAGGTGCCACCACTCACACTAGCAGGAGGTGCCACCACTCACACTAGCAGGAGGTGCCACCACTCACACTAGCAGGAGGTGCCACCACTCACACTAGCAGGAGGTGCCACCACTCACACTAGCAGGAGGTACCACCACTCACACTAGCAGGAGGTGCCACCACTCACTAGCAGGTGACACCACTCACACTAGCAGGAGGTGCCACCACTCACACTAGCAGGAGGTGCCACCAGTCACACTAGCAGGAGCTACCACCACTCACACTAGCAGGGGTGCCACCAGTCACACTAGCAGGAGGTGCCACCACTCACACTACCAGGAGGTGCCACCACACTAGCAGGAGGTGCCACCACTCTAGCAGGAGGTGCCACCACTCACACTAGCAGGAGGTGCCACCACTCGCACTAGCAGGAGGTGCCACCACTCACACTAGCAGGAGGTGCCACCACTCACACTAGCAGGAGGTACCACCAATCACACTAGCAGGAGGTGCCACCACTCACACTAGCAGGAGGTGCCACCACTCACACTAGCAGGAGGTGCCACAACTCACACTAGCAGGAGGTGCCACCACTCACACTAGCAGGAGGTGCCACCACTCACACTAGCAGGAGGTGCCACCACTCACTAGCAGGAGGTGCCACCACTCACTAGCAGGAGGTGCCACCACTCACACTAGCAGGAGATACCACCAATCACACTAGCAGGAGGTGCCACCACTCACACTAGCAGGAGGTGCCACCACTCACACTAGCAGGAGGTACCACCACTCACACTAGCAGGAGGTACCACCACTCACATTAGCAGGAGGTGCCACCACTCACATTAGCAGGAGGTGCCACCACTCACACTAGCAGGAGGTGCCACCACACTAGCAGGAGGTGCCACCACTCACACTAGCAGGAGGTGCCACCACTCACACTAGCAGGAGGTGCCACCACTCACACTAGCAGGAGGTCGCACCACTCACACTAGCAGGAGGTGCCACCACTAGCACTAGCAGGTGGTGCCACCATTCACACTAGCAGGAGGTGCCACCACTCACACTAGCAGTAGGTGCCACCACTCACACTAGCAGGAGGTGCCACCATTCACACTAGCAGGAGGTGCCGCCACTCTAGCAGGAGGTGCGACTATTCACACCAGCGGGTTGTGCCACCACTCACACTAGCAGGAGGTACCATCACTCACACTAGCAGGAGGTGCCACCACTCACACTAGCAGGAGGTACCACCACTCACACTAGCAGGTGTCACCACTCACACTAGGTGGTGTCACCACTCACACTAGCATGAAGTGCCACCACTCACACTAGCAGGAGGTGCCAACACTGACACTAGCAGGAGGTGCCACCACTCACACTAGCAGTAGGTGCCATCACTCTAGCAGGAGGTACCATCACTCACACTAGCAGGAGGTGCCACCACTCTAGCAGGAGGTGCCGCCACTCAAACCAGCAGGAAGTGCCACCACTCACACTAGCAGGAGGTGCCACCACTCACACTAGCAGGAGGTGCCACCACTCACACTAGCAGGAGGTGCCACCACTCACACTAGCAGTAGGTGCCACCACTCACACTAGCAGGTGCCACCACTCACACTAGCAGGTGCCACCACTCACACTAGCAGGTGCCACCACTCTAGCAAGAGGTGCCACCACTCACTAGCAGGTGACACCACTCACGCTAGCAGGAGGTGCCACTGTTCACACTAGGATATACCACTATTTTAGCAGGAGGTGCCACTACTGTCACTAGTAGGAGATGCCACCACTCACACTAGCCGGAGGTGCCACCACTCACACTAGCCGGAGGTGGCACCGCTCACACAGGTGGTGTCACCACACACTAGAAGGTGCCATCACACTAGCAGGAGGTGCCACCACTCACACTAGCAGGAGGTACCACTACTCACACTAGCAGGAGGTGCCACCACTAGCAG